TTCATTTGAAAATGTGAAGTCTGCCCTTGCCTCGAATAGTAATGTTCTTTGCTAGATATCATTCAAATGTGAAAAATAGACATCTCTTCACACCCACGCTGATTTGATGATATGCTGAAACTTAAAATAAAAAAGGATTCCATATTCGCTAATTTTGAAAAATTTCTTGCAACAAAACATCAAACCACTTGGCGTAGATAGACCTTATTACGACTGAAAAGACCATCTCAACCCAGCAAAAAATAAAGAAGGTCCCCTCCCTGCCAACATTTTTCAGAAAGAGAGATATAAGTGATTAAAAACGATCTCTATCAAAACCTCCTCGGATATTTCTCCTATTTGACAGTATCAGGGAAGAAAATTTATTCTGTTGAAAAAATTACATTACCTGAATTTACTCAGAGCCCCTGGAATGTCGATTGACTGAGATGGGGCTGGAGTATGGGGGAATCAAGAACGTTGATGCGGACGGTCGGAATTGTCAACCCTGGTTGGGTCGGGCGAACGACGAACGAGTCTCAGTCATGGGCATAATGATGATCCCTGATGAAGGCGTAGACAGTAGTCACAACTACTGTCGCAATCCGAACGCTAACTATTACGGCCTCTGGTGCTTCACTGAAGAGGGAACTGGCGAAAGATGGGGACATTGCATGGTCCCTTTCTGCTATCAATTGTATGAGCGCATCGCCGTCGAAGGTATGCCAAGGGGTTCATTCGTGCTCAGGTTCTCGCAACCTTAACCTAATGAGACCGTTTCACGCGTGAAGAAACGAGCAGATATCCTAAAATCATGCATCCTACAATATTGGCATGTGACCAAAAACGAAAATATTCCACAGTCTAACCTTCTGAAAAATCGATTTTCGGATAACGTGAAATGCTTCAAGCAGGTGAAATGCAGACTTGACGTGTTTCGTAGTTTTTATTGGGGAAAATTTTCTGACAGGTAAACCGGCGGAAGGATACCCAGAATGCTTCCAGATCGCGATGGGGAAGGAATACGTAGGAACGACGAAGAAAACGAAGACCGGAAAGCCCTGTCTCCGATGGGATTCTCAGCCATATGGACAACCTGAGGACTTCGACTCGAATGCAACTTATGAGGATCATTTCCGATTTGGCAATCCCACGTTGGACCAGGATTTCTGCAGGAACCCGACGTTCAGGCAGCAACCCTGGTGCTTCGTTGAAGATCCAGACATCGAATGGGAATTTTGCCAAATTCCATTTTGCCCCAACTACCCCAGTGAGCCCCCATACCTATCCACGAATCCCTGTTGGGTTAATACTATCGGTTTTCGGGGCTAGTAGATTCCCTGCTATGGTCCGAGGTTGCAAAAAATCCTTTAATATTGGCCTACGTGTGAGATGCATGACATTGCGTGCATGTAATACAGAGTTAAAATGAAAATCGAAAACTCACTTAAGATGTTGCAATGTTCATCTGTCGCTGGTCTCATAGTTTCCAAAATTCGACCCACGATGAGGCGCATCGTGACGGAAGATACGTTTTCTCCCGATGCTACTATCCTGCGAGTGTGAATGAATAACTGATTCCTTCCATTCAACCGAATGAAACGTTCTTTTCTCAGAAGCAATTCGAACTGGGGGGGTTTTCGTTGAACGGTATGGTGTGTCACGCCCAGTATTGCAAGAGTCTCTTATTTACGCGCATCTTATATTGAATGAAGAAACGAATGACGTAACTCAATGGATTGCGACGTAACAAGGGACCAATATTATTAACTGGAAGACCAAATTTCTCAATTTAAGTTTTTCTTCCTTGTCCCGTCGTGGATTCAAGTGGTAAGACAGCTCCGATCAGACAGAAGTTCGGGAAAAATATAAGTATCGTATTCTTCAAACAAAGTACTTAAGTTTATTACAGAATAAGACAATAATTACACGATAAAAAAAACTTCCTAAAGCTAATTTGAAGCTAGTCAAAACTTAGTTATGGGTACAATGGAAATCTCATACATTTTTCCACATGAACTTAGGGTTTTAAAGAATTTCTTTTTCTCACATTCCTGGGATGTAGGCAGAAAGTGTTTAAGCACATATGCCCTTTTTCCATATCCGCGCTGCTAAAACATTTTCGAACGAGTCTTTCACCACTTCTTTCCGGTTAAAAACAATAATTTATCAATAAATGCATCTGCAGATTTGAAATAAACTCTTTCTTCAAGGATAGTTATTAAAATTTGAATATTCAGGACCTGTTTCATTAGCCAATTACACAGCAGTGATGCATTATTAACATATTCTTCATCTGAATCTGCAACTATTTAACTGATGACTAGGCCTCTTTCGTTCCCTTTCCTTTTGTCTGGCTTCTTCCTCATTTTCACTTTCAGTGTAAAAGGACGAAATAATTTCACTAAATTTGTTCAGCATGCTAGTGCTAATGGAATATTCATGGAGGCAGCCATATTGAAATTGTCATACAATTGGCCTGCTAAATAGTGAGAGCACAGGAAAATCAGCTCCTCCTTTGCTAAATACGTTTATTAACTATGATACTTGCTGAGCACTCTATCCGATGACAAGTCACCTTAAGCAGCACATGGACACGGATATGGAAAAAGGGCGTATAGGCACATACGCCCCTTTTCCAGGGAACTCCTCAATTATCCACTGTACTTATTAATGAATTCAACACAAGAATTCTATCAGTATTAAGAGACGCCCGGGATCTCTTTTAGAGTGTAACACTCTAAACAATATCAAAATAAATATTGGATGCGAGAAGTATCCGACGAGGCAAACTCATATTCAGATTTTAAATAAATATCGTTTATCTTAATCTTTTTTTTTCTCTCTCTCTTTTGGGCCACATCTTCCTCCCAAAACCAAGTGAAAAGGGCTAACCTGGCAATTGTGGTTGTCCTGGAGTTAGCTCCCGATCTGGTAAGGTCACAATGTTGCCATCCAAATAGCGACTGACTCCGGCATCCAAGTTTCTTCACAATATCCTCGGTACCTCTGGGAGGAGCTAGGGTACCTGGGTTTTACGTGCTTACGTGCCCCGTCGGTTACAGGATTGTCCCATCCTCACAGTGAAAACATACCTTCACTCTTACTTAAAAATTAATTCATGATTAAATCAAGTGTTTTTCCTGATTCCTTATAGAACGGTCAATAATTACGTCATGAAATGAAGTTTTAAAACTTAAAACAATTTTCCTCAACATGCAATATCAAGAGTAACAAAACATCCTACGAAACATAATTTCATAAGCGTTATGAAATAATTAATATTGTTCCACTCAATACACCATGATGAAAGGAAGAGGAAGGTGTGAATGATATGAGAGTAGAATGGCCCAAAGAGCATGTTTATGTTAATTTTACGTAAAATGAACATAAATTTTTTGTCCATTTTGTATCATTTTTACGCAAACTATTGTCAAGAAAATGTCAACATGTTTCCAGAAATGTCACCTCTGTGATATGTAAACGGTGATATAAAATTAACGTCAATTTTACGTAAAATTGACATTCCCGTTTAGTAAATTTTACGTAAACGTGATGTCATTTTCATGGCAATCGCAAGAAATTTGCATTGTTTGCAAATAAGTGATATCTTGTTTACGTGAACATGCTGCTTGAGGGGATGCGATTCCTGCTACCCTTTTTCACACTTCAGGAGGAATACATAGTATTAATTCCTCTTTCGGCCTTCCTTCCCGATGATGGTCTTCCCTTCTAATTACAGTAAAAGTTCACCATTCAGGTTCGTCTAGGGAAACAAAGAGTTCTTCCCCGTAGGACAAAGAGACGAAAGGAAAGGACGATCCCGTTCTTCACTGGATCAATATTGCCCAATACATCTATATCTTATTTCTTCTCTCCACCAGACAAGACGGAATGCAGATGGACTAAAGAGGGAGAGGAGTACGCCGGGACACGAAATACATCATTGTCAGGATTTCCGTGTATGCGATGGGATCAACTCACGTATACAAATTTGCGCAATTGGGCCAGATACCCCGAGGACGTGAGGAGAGAGAAGCACAACTATTGTCGCAATCCGTCAATGAATGAGCAGGAGCCCTTCTGCTTCATTTCAAGTGAATACACAGAAATATGTGACATTCCTTTTTGCCCCTTCCACTACCTCTACTAAAAACGCCTCGTCGGTGAAGGAATTAGAGAGGTATCGGAAAAGCACGGGTGTTCACCAGGAACCGTTCGCACGAATTTTCATTACTGTATATCTACTTTACAGTGCAAGTACACTCCTCTGGTCAAGTTCAAAGTTCATGTCACTTCCCCTGTTTCGATTAATTTACCATTGATTCCATGGATATCACTACTCATGAGTTACATATATACCTTCACTCTTCAAAGTGCGCTTTTTATTCGAAAACTCTTTCCGCTCGCAACTGGAATCAGGATGAGGGATTTCACGCACCGAATGCAAACTAATGTATAAAACATAGACGTTAAAATTCTTAGGAAGTTATTCCCTAAAGCGAACCGGAGGACTCTGCAATTTGAAACCTTTGAGAGAAACCAAAGGTAACATGACCAATCTTTTGTCATTTCAAGGTTCAAATGTGCGCATTCAGAAAGGGCGTGAGTTTCTTTCCTATTCGTTTCCTCCATTTACTTAGTCTTGTAGTCCTGGTTTTTGTCTCCGTTCTGTTCTTCGCTCCTTTCTCCTTACATAATAAACGTTCCAGTGAAGAGAACTTCCTGAACTTCGCAAAAGGTAATTGGCACCTCTAACGCCAATTACCTTTCTTGAACCTCTTCCCTCAGCAAAATTCAACTTCTTCGTATTCCTAACTGCGAGCATCAACAGTATTGAAACTCTGCATGCTTCTTGCCTTCTTGGCGCACTATCCTTATAGCAAATTTAATGCCGCAAATCCCCGGAGTTGCGGAGAATCACGCATTTCGAAGATGTGAATTTCATTCCGCCAGTTTTCTTCTCTTCCCATGGGTAGCGTTTTCTGGGAAGGTTTTCGGAGGAATGAGACGAACCAAAAGAAAGATACTGACTTGTAGTTGACGAAAAGTTCCGATCTTGTTCTTTCCAACGCACTATTTTGCCACAGAAATTAAATGAAATGCTTTTCATTTAGGTTTTCCGTGGTGGCTCCCGTCCCGCCCCAGTGTTGCCAAATATCGTGCTGAAGTTATGTCAGATTCATGACTGTTGTGGCTATCGTTTCGTCAGATGGATCCTCGTTTTTTCAATGAAGTGGATATTTTTGCACCGAGTTCAAGAGATGAGCTGAGATTGAAACGGAGGTTAGCAGAGACACGTCGCTGTGGTGGGATATGGAACTATCTTAAACGTAATCCCTGAATTTGGAGCCTAGCTTGAACCTTATGCTTCTGGAGGCATTTCCTTTTCTCAGACTTCCCCGAGATAGATCGACGTACTCCGGATTGGCATAACGTTCCACGCTCGCACTGAAATGGTTAAAGAATACAATTGTAACAGAGTAGGCGTGTAACGTCCGACGTGAAATAGTTTGTGAATCACTGAATAGGCTGTCGATCGGCCTGAGGTTAAAGTTCTCAACGAGGTCTCTGGGAGAACCGGGGATTGATCTCCATAGGCCTATTTCGTCCAGTAAGTAAAGGATTTAGTTTCTTTTGAATGGGAAAAGGTAGGCCTAGGCCAGACAAGTCCGTCGGATAGGTCTCGGCCAGACGTTAGTGACTCCAATAGGTATCTTCTTCTTTCGCCCCTGGGACCTAATTGAAAAATAGTTGCTACATTTTCCTTTTCATTTCATCTCGATAAACGGGGGCGAGAGTGCACCAGGCGACTTTCCAAACGTTGATTTCGTGAATGATAATAATATAGAGCAAAGACGAGCTACAGTCCAGGTAGCACACGACGTTGAGCAGCAGCTAAGAATTTTCTATCACCTATCGCAGTTACTTGAACAAAAAGCTTTCCACAGATGATGCGAGATAGTGTCTACGTAGTCGCTATTTAAGAGCGATCATGAAGTGAGTCACTTCCTGATCGCTCGATGATAAGACCCCAGCACTTTCCATGCGGTATTTGATATTTTCCCTCATAGAATGTGAGGGAAGACCCTCGAACTTCTCGAGTCATCTCTTTAAACAACTGAAGCAGTCCAAGGAGAACACCCCGTTGAGCGGTGAGGAGGCACGGTTCAAAATTGGCGCTTCACTCGATAGGGCGAGGATGAAGGAGGTCCGTTTCTCTGGGTCGATGGGGACTACCGAGAGATGATGATGTTGAAATGATGCCACGATCATTTCATCATTTCGTTCTCGGTGGCAATGTCATCGGTGCCGATCTCTCAGTGATCGCGAAGTATTGATTCGCATTTTTCCTCGTCATTCCCTGAATGTTCCATGCCGAATGCACGAGGCGAGAACGTATGGTCCCGTGCTCTTATTTATCAAGGAAACGATGGTAGTTCATCTATAATCAAGCTAAAAGAAATCGATCGAACTTCAGTTAGCGAACTTAGGATCCTGCAAATCTGGCATTTTGATGAATAACACCTTTCTGGGTTCTGCCTGGCAACTGCTTTGTTCCACATAACAACGAGCTTCGGTGGTGAAGCAATTACAGCGACGACATAATCAAGTCAAACAATAATTAATACCCGTGGATATATATCTGAAAAGTGACTCTTAGAAATCCTTTCTTCCAGATGATGAACTTAAAACAAATTTCCCTTTTCGTTTTTTTTTTCTAGTGGAAAAGGCATCAACCGGATTTTCGATTCATATGCAATGGATTCACTGCTGAGAGATTCCCACGCAAGAATGCAGGGTCTCTTCATCCGTTGAAAGTCTGTTGGTTTTTGAAACGTATCGCATGGAGGACGGATTTGTTTCGCGCCCAAAATGCATAGAATTGATGGATTTGAGTCTTCTGCGTGTGCCGTGAAATGATCCTCTAAGCATTTCATCAATTCGTTTCTGTGAGCAAAATGTTTTCAAATGTTCTCAATGATTGATGAGGAAATAATGAGTCATACTTTTCTTCGAAATTTCCTGGAAGCTATCGGCCGTGGGCAGGAACATTTGGTTCCATTAATCCATGGAATCATGGCAGTACGTCCCTAAAACAGCCACGTAACGGAAATCATTGCATTTTAATCTGCTATAATCTGGTGTTTTGATTAGTGATGCATTCCACGTTTCTGCCTGGCAACTGCACTGTTGCGCATAGGAACGAGCTCCGGGCGTAAATATTTATATCCACATTTTCCACGTTCTTGAGTTTTGTTTTCCTTGCGCGATCATGCTTCCAACATTCTGCAAGTGAATGACTTAATTTTGTTTACTCTTCCAGTGGCCATACCAAAAAAATCATCTTCATGTTAACTTTCCCCTTCTTTTTGTATTTGTGGTACTAGTACTTCTCAGCCACCTAAGGGGTGTCTTCGGGGAGAATTCCCCGCGGTTATCACCTGTTATTTCCCAGTAGAAAAGCTACAAAGTTAGAAGACGTGTGCGTGAAGAATACTCTAAGAATACTGAAAGTTTTCGATTCATCAATTTTTAGTAGACTGTTTGACTCAATGACAAAGGAAAGAAGACACTCATGATATCTCTTGAAGGTTGTATCCCAGATAATACTTTTGGTGGGGCTCACGTTGGCCAATGTGGTCCTCCATCGTCAGTATGCGTAGGCCCAATTTAGGTGATTAAACAATTATATTAAGTGCACAATTTCGATACGCATGTAAACATTATTTTGGTCCGGAGTGAATAGTTCGCACGTAAACAGCAAATTAAATGATTAGAAGTCGTGTTTTAATTCCTCGTGGCGTCTTTTAGGCTTTGGCGCCTTCTTTATCCTTAGGGAGAAATAATGCGGGAAACTTGTTCGCGGTAAAGGGGGGGACTTCTAATAAAAAGCGATGTGTGATTGCAAAAGCACGTGCGTCAGAGACTCGGCGACGAGGCAAATCTGGATTCGGCACAGCCGCTTGAGACAACCGGAGAAGAGGGAGGAGTAGTACCCTCTGTACCGAAGAACCCCTCGTACTTCTGTGAACTGTCTCTACGACCTGGAACCTCAAAACTGACGAGTTCAGAAGTCCACAAGTCTACAAGTAAGAGCAAATAATTACTTCTTACTTGTTAGTCCTATTTCTAGAAAATCTTGATGAGAGCGCTGAGATTTAATTACTGTGAGGTTGAATTTCACTGGTACTTAACATAAGATGGCGCTCAGAAAGGCCACATTGACTCTAGTTTCAGGGGGAGTTTGGTTGAAGCGCAATCACATCAGCAGCTGGAACAGGTACCATTACGGTCGCCAACTGGAACCGCACCGGTTTTGGAAGCATCCAACTTGTTAGAGTGACATTGACGAAGCCGCTTTCTTCCAAAATGTGGCACAGTTGATCTCACAAATAACAGATTTATTTAATTCGGATGAAATACACTCGCATGAAAGACAGAAGCCTTCTAGTCCCATTTGGTGGGCATCACAGTGGATGGAGACCGGGAGGATAATTCACAATGCTTTTCCTTTCATAGAATGGGTCGCGACAATGGTGCCGATGCGACGGTGTGAACATGTGGGCTATTCCAAGGTAATAGTATTCAGTGGTAATGATACCGTACTATGCAGAAGGGTTCGGTATGAGTGAACCTCGGTATGAGCATCATGAGAACGGTATACCGCGGTAAGATGAATGACCGCCCCCCGCCACCCCAACGCCCTTGAAGGAAGCATGGGTGTAGGATGCCAGATGCGGCATTCACATAGCAACCTCGTCGACGCGGCCTCGAGCAGCCCCTATCTCGACCTTACGTATGTTATGACGGATCCGCCCTCTGCGAGGGCTGGAAGGGATTTGGACGTTTTTGTCGCGGACTGTCACCCCGACCGAACCGGAAAGCTGCATATGCACAATGAACGGTGTTGCTTGGTTCCCATGGATACCGCGGACATACGGACTGAAAAAAAAAACCTTGCCAAATCGATTGCAATATCTGCTATTTCCCCGAAGTACCTATGGGAAGGGCAAGTGAAAAATAAAAACATTAATTCTCTCACTTGCCAATACTCCAGCATTGGTTTTCTGTAATGCTGCACGTGAAAATGTATATTTTATCTTTCGAACGAGAATAAATATCTTAAACAGGCTAGTTCCCTTCGTGAGTTCCAAAGCAACATACAAGAAAAATGAAGCGACGCATTTCGAATTCTTGACAAATCCGCCAAAATATATCCGATGTATGCTTAATCTGCTGGGAAAAAAAAACTTTCTACAGTTGAATATGAATAATAACCTCGAAGCTGGCACAAGTGGAGCCTTCCTGTGGGACATTTTCGAGGTGATACATGGTGATTCATAGGATATATTCGTAGATATTCAGCCCTGAGACTGCAGTCATACAGAGGCTTCGTTCGAAGCGTCCGATTCCAGAAATCGGGGAAATGGATTAAGTACCTCAGTTGCCGGCACCGAAAAGATTTCCCTTTGCGTTTTTGTGAGGGAATCGTTGAATTCAATTCCATCGTCTCGATGGTATTCTCTAAGCCTGTTTTTCCTTCTCCTGGCAGTTGGATGGGGGACTTCCTGACTCCGGTTTTCATTTCCTGTCTTTTTTGCGCCGGATCGTCCTCGAAAATCATCGTGTATCATGCCGTGCACCAAGGGCGACGATACAGGAACGCGTCACAGCAGTTCCAAGCGAAGAACCTCGAGGACTGCACCGTGAAGTGCGCGAGGACGAACCCGTCCGGGCCTTGCCTGGCTTTCAACTTCAGGGAACGGGATTTATTCTGTCAGCTGATTCGCAATGAGAAGAGCGGTCTCGTTCCCTCGGATGGCTACCAGGCATACGTACAATGTGAGTGGAAATATTGGTATCGAGGAGATGATAATTTGCCATGAAACTGTGATTTCATGTAAGTTCTAATATAAATTTTTATATAATTGGGAACGTCAATCTGTCCATTTTCGCATTTCATGGAAACGAAATGTCCTGACGGGAGAATACACTCTGCTTAAAAAAGTTGCCTATTCCTAAGCTGTATTATTTTAATAAATCATAATTGCACACCAAAGCTATGTGGTGCTCCCCCACCATGAAAGGTAAGCTAGAATGTATATATAGAGAATAAGGTTACGATAGACAGTCCGCTACTTCATCGAAAATCCATCTCTACGGTATGCGAGTTATGAGACTTGTCGATGACGACAAAGAAGTCTAAGAGGAGAGAGGCAGGAGAGACTACCATGATAAAATTCATCTAAAAAAAAAACTCATTTCATCGAGATTTTTATTACAGATTGGTCAAATTGATACCACTATACCAATTACAACATGAAAAAAATAAAAGAATACCAGTTGAGGGTTAAGGAGAGTCCCATATCTTCTGCATTTTTTCATATGTGGAATCTGGGCCTACCATCCCTGTTGTTTGGTGGTTGCGTGTTTCTATGACTAACTTTGACATATTGGTAATTGCCAAATGGTATTAACTCCTAAAGAGGCGGCATATGTAAATGCCCCTCAGGCAGCACGTTGTCAAATTTTGTTGAAAATGCAGTTCTGTGCCTGACGGACTACCCGAGGATCGAGCACGCGACGGAATCTTTCGTGGCTTGGACGGGCGAGCATCCAGCTCCACCCGGTGGGGAGGTGAAATTCGCTTGCATCCACCAGCGAGGGTTCGATGATGGCACGAAGGAGCACCGTGCCGCCTGTTCCTCGACTGAAGCCGATTCCTGGAGCTCGACGTTCATCGAAGGCGAAAGGGACCTCTGTCCTGATGCACGTGAGCATGCTCTTTGGGATTCGGTCGAGGCTGACGCGGAAAGTCTTCATAAGCATGGGAAATATCTAACTTGTTCTGACTATCATGAATGAGCGACTGACTGACTAAGGCTGATTCTAAGCATGATCTAGATATGATGAGTGGATGAAACAGGAATAGGTTGGGTTTCTGACTCCATGAAAATTTCCAACTGTGGAGGCACAGAGGGCACACTTCTCGAAATTGGTGACGTCATTCGAACTTTGCCCTGAAAAAATGAGAGTACGAAGTCTTTTTTCGAAATTCATGTGTTTTGGATACAGCCGGTGGGGACTGAGAGCCCCGGAAGCAAAGATCACCGACCCAATAACGGTTCTCCCAGGTTTTTATATTACCGTTTCATTGATGACAAGTGAGTGCTGCGTTGAAGTTTATTGCAGAGATGGACCCCATTTCGAAACAGACTTCATTTTCGCATCAGGAAATCTAAATAGCTCCACCATTCCATGCCTTTCTATCCATCTAGCCCGTTGCTTTTTTTTCATTAGTTGAATGGAAAAATGTTTACGTTAATGGCTGCTTCAACTGCTGGAATGTGACGAATTTCTACCTAATCTATTGCAAATTTTTTGCTTAACAAATTTTCCCTGATTCGTTGGAGACACATTCATTTAATTTAGTGTCCATGGATAGAATTGGAAAGTCGTGCGGGCAGTTGAATGACGCACTAGTCCAATAATGGCTGGGACACATTAGTTTTAAATTTGCCTCATGTCAAGAGTTTCGCGACGCAGAAAAATCCCCTATCCGACTTCATTTCACGGCAATGGAGACTTTCGAAACGCAATTTACATGATTCGTAGAAAAGTTTGACTTTAAACACATAAAGACCGGAATGAGAGCCTAAAATGGCAGTCAGGGAGTTATCAGACTATTACGTACTTATCGGGAAGATGAAAGCCAGTATGCCATCGTGTATTGCATTCCAACGAGGCAATTTTCAGTATCGTGCGTGACCGAACACCCCAAGATGGAAAACGCAGTAGTGGCATACGACGGATGGGACGGGAAGTACCCAGCGCCTCCAGGCGCCCAGGTCATCTATACCTGCCGTCGTTCTTTGCGGTTCAATGATGGGTCGAGCACGCACGAAGCCACCTGCTCGTTTCTGCTCGATGGCACTTGGGAGACCTCCTTTCACGGGGAGGTCGTTCGATGCCGAGGTAAGTCTTTTCGCTGATTCCCATGCTACGAGTTCTTGTCGTGATCCTCTGGAAACGGCATGCCTGTCACTGGAATCCCTCAGCATGCCATGCTTGATGATATTGCATTGGTTTCGGATTGAACATCATCTCAATCGCATAATAAAAATGCCGCGGTTGAAAAAATTCACTATTGACTATCATGAAAAGATTTCGTGAAGTTATGACTTTCCATGTTTACATTCATTTTACATAAAATTGATGTTAATTTCTCCCTAGCATTCTTGCGTATTTAACAAGCCAATTCGTACTTTTGAAAGGAATTAAAACACTGCATTTCTCCTATTCCTTTCCATACTTTGGAACTCAAGGTTACTTGGATGAGTAAAAGAGTACACAAGTACTCATCCTCACCAGCACTCAAGAGTACCAAGATGACTCACTAGTTCCTCCTCCCGTACCAGGACCTCGGGAGGAGGAATAGATGTTTAGAGGAGCTCTTTTCCATTAAGGATAGAGAAGGTACTTGTAGAGCTGGATTCTACTCTTCCCTAATCCCGTGCACTGCTATAATAACAAGCTTAGCTTCAGCATTTAATGATTCCCTGAGTCATATATTATTAGAAATATGTAATAATTTCCTGTTTTCCATTCATGGATTGCATAATAAAAAGTGGAGGGATGGTCAGAAAACGTGATATTATATCGGGAAAACCAGTACTTAATAGCATTTGTAGGGTGCAGGGAACAAGGGTTCCATCTAGTGAGGAATCTTGATATTGCAACTGCGGGATGGTCAGCTGAAGTTTCATATGGAAAGTGTGATGTTAACTTTGCATAAACTTGATATCATGTACTTCACATCAGATGGAGTGACGTCTAGTTTATGTAAAATACACGTACACTTCAGGGAAAACCAGTACTTAATAGCATTTGTAGGTGCAGGGAACAAGAGTTCCATCTAGTGAGGAATCTTGGTATTGCAACTGCGGGATGGTCAGCTGAAGTTTCATATGGAAAGTGTGATGTTAACTTTGCATAAACTTGATATCATGTACTTCACGTCAGATGGAGTGACGTCTAGTTTATGTAAAGTACACGTACACTTAGGTGACGTAAATATAGAAACGTTACTTTGATGTAAACGTGATGTCATTTTCATGGCAATCGCAAGAAATTTACATTGTTTGCAATAAATTGATACCTCGTTTATGTAAACATGCTGCTTGGGCATCTCCCCAGCACTCAAGACTACCAATATGAAGTCTGAAGTCATAAGAGTGTTTGAACGAGTTGCCATTGAAGAGAATGCACACACAGGTATCGAAACCTACTGGGGACCTCATATGTAGCATGCATGATCGATGGTAGGAATAACACCGCTGCTCATCTTTTTTGCTTTTCCAACTTGACATTTTTGAAAGACAAGTGTAATGATCGATGTGCCAAATTCTCTCTGCGTTTACTAGGACGTGCGTATTCAAACTTACGTGCAATAAAGTTAGTTACGAAATAAAGTTAGTACGAAATTACATCCAGATAACGATTATTTTTTTATTTGGACCATCCTATGGCTTGAAAGGAAGTGGAAAGACTCAATTATTCCAAAGAAACATTCAAATAAAATTTTGATTAAATGCCATAATGGCAATACATGTCAATAATATCAATCGTAATGACATGCATTCATAATAATGACATCAGATTTCTCCTTTAATATGTTAAAAGAATATTATTATTCTGACTCATGTTCCTCGGACTCCACTTCTGCATTATCTTCGTCGGATGATAGATTGACAACCAAACCCGAGACGGACATTGGAATGCTGGAAGGGTCGGGAGGGACGACCTCGTTCTGCCACCTCCATGCATCGTTATAGTACTTATAGGTGCCGCCGAGAGCACCTATGGCAGCACTGGCCCCCAGAGCGCCGATGGGGCCAAGCACCGCGCCCGCCATCAAGGGGGCCGCTGCTGCAGCGATGCCGACGATGCTTCCTGCCTGGTATCGCTTCGCGCGCTCTTCCGTCATCTTCGTTTCCAATGAGCGGTGCCAGTCATCCAGGGTCTACCGGGAGGTTCGGATCAATGGAAGGCTCTACTGAAATGAGGAATGGAACAGAGGGCACTCACGGTGACGAGGATGTCTCGGTACTCCTGGAAGAGCCAGGCGGGGGCCCAGTCTCCATCTTCCACGAAGGAGCGCACGACTGCGTCCCTGTGTTCCTCGTGGTTTTCTTTTAGTTCTTCCTCGGTCACGACGGTTTCTCCGTAGAATTTCTTCATCCTGGTAGCACTGAGGTAATCCTCGGCCCTTGCCCTCAGGGATTTCACCAGCAATTTTCCCACTCTTTTTTCTTTGTTTTTCCGTTTCCTCTCGAGATGGTCTTTCGCCATTGTCAGACGCTTTGGAAAAAGATTGAGGCTATAAGACAATATAATTCCTTATACACGGTGTTTCAATTTGTTTTGCCAGTTTCTGTTTTGAAAATAAGTCGATCAGATAAAATGTACAATCATTAATAGATTTAATTATTTGGCACAGTATTTTTAACACCGTGTAGTAATGACAGGCCTCTTAGTACTTCATAATCGTTGTAGGCAGTAGATATACATTATCACTTTCATTACTTACGTTCACCAGTGAACTCCTCAGCATGTTCGCTTCTTTCTGTGAAGTTTAAGGTTAAATCTACAAAGATCCAGTTTTTTTCGAAGCCTCGCAAACTTCGAGGAATCGATGGGCGTGATGGGGCTTCCCAAGGTTGCTGGAGAAACTGATCTAATACTTACAGTACTGAAGCGTTTGCAATTGATGCGACGATTCGACGCCGACCTTGAGGTTCAACATTTTTTTTGTGAGGTAGTGCTGATGGATGAAATTAAGGACCAGAGAATTATCTGGTCCTAAGTTTCATACATCAGCACCTAGCATCAGTTCTTAAGAACCAAATATGCTACAAAATGCCAGTATTTGAAAGTCTCTGACGGAAAAGTGGATATGCAAATATGCTTGACGCTATAGGACTCAGAGGGTCATTATATTTCTCTTAATTGATGCTCAAAGATTTTAGTAAAATTGTCTAAGGAGCAGACTTCCTCATGTTTTATCTCTCACAAAGCCTTTTGACGAACGGAAAGTGAAGGAAATGAATTCGAATCTTTTCCCAATATATATTACATCAATTAATTAGACTTTGGAATTAATAATATCTCCCAATTCATAGTGAACTTATGTCATAATCTTGGACACTTGTAAATAAGAGATTCAAGGCAGGAACAGCATGAAACAGCGTGCCAAACAACTTCGGAGGCGATATTTATGCCCATGAGTCTTCTTTCCTGGCTTTCAAAGACATGATTCCACACAATTCTCACTTTGTGAATATAAACGGTTTTACACTCCTCTCTGGAAATACGAGGTAACTCAGAGTTTGAAGGGAGGGAGAAGGAAAAGAGTGATACCTCCTCCAGCTCCTCCTTGTATCTGTCGGCGAGGTGAGGCCACTGCGCCCCAATCGCCCAGAAGATCTGCAGAACTTCTCTGCGGTACTTCTCGTGTCCTTCGAGCAGCTCTTCCTTGGTGAGAAGGTGATTGTCGGTGGCTCCCTGCCTTCCTTCATCGTCCTTGCCGCCGCAGTGGTAGGACATCTCGAGCTCGTAGAGTGCCACGCTACGCTCCACCGCGTCTTGGAGGGCAGACTCGGCTTGGTGCTCTTGGGAGTTTCTGAAGGCTTTGTATCGCTTGTATTCGCTTGACATACGCTGTGGCGAGGGAATTTTTCAGTGAAACACTTTAATGCCAAATTACTTTCAAATAAAATTTGAAATTTTCTTTCGCAATTAAAAATAAAGCAATTGAAATGGCTAACCAATTCCAAATCGTCCGTGTGTTTCTTAGCAAGATGTGGGTATTTTTTTCCTGTCTCTTCGAAGGATATCATTGTCTGTCGCTGATAGCTCCCATGGATGTTGTTCAGTTTCTCTTCGCTCATCAAATCTACCAATAATTTGCTCATCTGGTCGTTGTATATTTCCATAGCGCTTTCCTTGGCATTGATGAGTTCCGTTTCTGCTTGTCTTTCTCTTGATTCTCTCAGTTCGATGTACTTCATGTACTGCTCATCCAAACGCTGCCAAAAAATTATTTAAACATTGGAATTACTCTAGACGTCGCTTGTCGTGATCACTGGCTGTTAGCCAGATAATGTTACAAAAGTTCCTTGCACGAACGTGATCATAATCTGCGTCGTATACTGTGCTGCAATATGTGAAGGCCTTTCAATTAATTCACGGACAGGATCAGACAATGGAAGAGGACTAGAGTCATCCTGATGTGGACTAAGCAGGTATGAGATAAATAGCACATGTCCGCGAATGAAGTGAACAGGCCTCATATATTCAGAGGAATATGTGGAGCAATATTATACTTGCAACATGATGCATGAAAAAGTTTACCCTCATCAAGTTTTGATGGTGGCCATCGAGAAGATATGGACAGAGTGTGTTTTGAGTTCTCTCTAAGAAGGCGTTGATCGCCTCTTTGTAGTGCTTCCGGTGCTCACTCTCCAACTCTTCCTCGGTGATGACGGCTCCTCCGCAGGAGTGGCCCATCTGGCTACAGTAGATCCAGACGGTGGACTGGATGGCGTTGATCAGGTCCCCGTTGGCAGTGGTCTCTTTCCATTGCCGATCGGTGAAGAAGAAGGCTGACTGGGACTCGATGTCCTGGTTGGGAGAGGGATAACTCCTATTGAGTAAGTGTTCGAACAATATGCACCCGAACAATATGCACCATCGTAAACCGATATACCTGGTGAGATCATAGTAAATGGATAAGGTAACGAGAAATACCAGAAGCAAGCGAATCAACAAAATTATTTGAAATAACAGATTAGGACGATTCCGAACCTTTTCCAGTTTCTCCTTGCATTGTGTGAAGAGGTCTTCCCCTGCAATTTCCTTATTCTGCAAGAAGTATTGAATCGCCCAGGCCTTCTTCTCCTGGTGTTCCACTCGCAGCTCCTCCTTGGTCACCAGTGGGACCGTCCCCAAGACCTCGGCCATGTCTTCCCCGTACTCCTTGAGGGAGCGGGCTGCCGCTTCCAGCAGTTTCGATCTGATCTGCTCCTCCCTCGCGTCTCGCTGTATCTCGTATTTCTCGTACTTCTCGTGCAGGCTCTGTTGGAATTAATCATGGCAGATGCTTGAGGCTGTTTCTTATATATTGGTCAGAGAGCCGGCTGATTGAAAATGCTATGGACATAGTTTCTGTAATGTTAAAAGTTGTGTAATTTGTCTAAAGAAAGGGCTACCGTAATTCAGAGTACGAAAAAATAAATACATAAACAACTTTTTCTTACCCATGCATGAGGTGGAAACAATCTCAGAAACTCTCGAAAGATTTCTCTACTTGACTCATGAAGGCTGTTTTTCATTTATTCGGCATAGTATTTTTTATTGTTTAGTCTCTTTAAGCCCCAGGTGAGAATATAAGACCTGAACTTGGTGGTGTTTTTATGGCACAAGTACTGGATTGAGAGGAGAAAAGTCCTATGAAATCGTGGATCCTGCTTGTGGGGTTTCTTCTTTCCTAGGGCTTCTTTTAAAATGTCCCCTTTAACAATATGACTTTTCCTTTACCCTTACGATATGATGACACCTCACAGTGAAGGACATTGCTATGAAGCTATGAGTATGCTTCCATGACAGGCATGCGTTTTTAGCGAAAAATGGGACAAATCGGTCGTGTACTGCTGTAAGCGTTGCATTCCCATGCATGGGAATGAAGGAATTTCTTACCTAAGTTGCAAAGTCTGCTGATCTATGATAAAGTCGTATTAAACTTCAACCAAGACGCTTTATGTGCGTCGCCCGTGATATTATATATCGTTGAATTAATTCTATTAAAAAATTCCAATTTGAAGAGGTTTATGGTCGATAGAAATCTCACATTCGACAACATCACTTTGGAGAGGGACTGTCGTCTCGTTCGAGGCGGATTTGCCTCCAATGGTCTCATCAGCCGCACAAGTAAAGCCTCAAGGAGCAAATGAATTCGTTGTAAGCATTCTATACATATCCGGGTGGTTGCGCCAAAGCTCATGACGTTGATTGGAATTATCACTTCCCCCGGTCATATCAACATGAATGTCGCTGGAAAATGTATGCACTGACCTTATCCAAAAGCAATAGGAATCTTCCCGATACTTCTTTTCCGCCCATCTTCTTGGAACTCGTGAATTTCTCTATCGCCTCCACTCGGAGTGAGGCGTGAACTTGATTCAGTCTCCTTCGAGTGGGCACGGGAGTTTCCGCCAGGAGTCTGTCCATTCGTTTGGTGTAGTGGTTGACTGCTTCGTCGCAGGCATTCCGGTGCTGGACCTCGGCGGTGGCCTATAGAGAGGTTCTATCTGCTATTTGACGGGTATCTGACATGCGACCGACAGATAGCGTCTAGGAAGTACCTCGAAGATGCTCTTGGGCTCGGGGATCTCCGCTCGGTTGTTGTAAATTCCGATGTAGCATTTGAAGAATTCGAAGAGTTGTTTGCACGTGATGGGACTGCCGGCGATCGTCTTGAGAGCCAGGTTTTCTGGGGAGAGCAGCTGCTGTACCAAAAGACGGAGTTGATCCTTGAAGTCTTCCTGTATATCTGAAATCAGGACCATATTTCCTTTCAAGCGCGGAAAACGCGTCCTTATCCCACTGATACGAAGTAGGAGACTCACCAGAAAGCGACCCGCTGAAATGAGGATCTCCAGCCACTCTCTCCCCGGGATAAGGCATCAGAAAGCAATTGAGCTTCGTAAAGCAGAACTTGATGTCTTCCTTCACTTTCTTCACGTCCTCTCGCTGTCTGCCAGAAGTCTGTCATAGGCGAAGGTCCAAAATCATGAGTAACCATTTAATTATATCAAATGAATACTCATTATGACAGTTTAACAGGAACGTGACAGGAACGAAGACAGACCTTGAGTTTCTCGTCCAGGAACTCCTGACCTCCTTCACTTCCATAGGGGACCTCGTGGTGGTTCCTCCAGTCCCTCACGAGGAAGAGGAAGTTCTGGAAGGGTTTGTCGTCGCTGGTCTCGAGGCACAGGCGACCGTACCCAGTGAAATACTGGAATCAGGAATGTTTCTTCGGATTCATCGAGTGCATGGAACTCTGCCTTTTTAACGCATTCGTTTGTCGAAGCATTCCACCGGGATTTTTGGGGAATGACCTCTTTTCCCACAATATTCGCTTCCCTGCTCTTTGCCAAATCCGCCATTTTTCATCAATTTCTTTTGCGAATTTTCTATTCCCTTAACGAAGGCACGCCATAACCAACTGGATGATAAATGTTTGGCCTACAAAGGCTGTAACCCTGCACCAGAGTTTTGACAGATTAGCAAATTGGCAGAACCGGGCAATTGCAAAATTCAACCAAAACTACTCGATCAGTTTTGTCTTGGGAGGCACTGATTAACTTACTTTCTCTTGATACGTGTATTCCCGTTTCATGTCAGGATTCAAAACAGTGCCGACTATCCTGGAATGTACAACTTTGCGAATGTACCTTTCAGGACCTCAAGGAGCTTTTTTATCTAACTCCCCTCGCAAATGGTAGTGCTGTTGTCGATCTCCCGTCGTCGTCTTCCTTTCCTTGGGTACATATTACACCGAAATACGGAAACTAATCATGGAATTTTCACGAGGGTGCCATAAGGCCTGCTAAACCAATTGAAAATATAGAATTACAGCATCTCTTCTTGGATGGTAATAATTGTATCGTCTCGAGAAAGTGAAAATACCATGAACAATAGCTGAAAATCATATAAATGAAAATAAGAAAGCAATAAAGGTTCGCATTCAAGACATTTCCAAAACCACAAAAAAGGAAGAAGCCTCCGAAAAGGAAAAGAGACAGTAGGCTTAAAAATCCCTTTGTTACGAGATCAGCCATGCTCTAGCATACTCCCCTGTCCCCCTGAGAGGCGTCGAAGATGATCACGTCGTTACTAAGCAATGAAGGGAAGATCACTGATTGACTCAGACATGTGCAAGTTTTTGCTGAAAGACTCAATGAATATGCAGCAGAAAGCGATTTCATCTTTTCACCGATTTGCACTTAGTAATCTTTCTGATATCATTTATGACACATTCCGAGTGACGAAGAGCCTTCTCTGGGATGATCAAACTATATATCACCATTAGGATGTGTCTAATGCAACTCGTTATGAGATTTTCACGCGGACTGCTGTTACTTAGTTGCTAATCAGTTGTTTTTGGAATTTAAATATTTAAAAGTATTTCCTTGAGAAGGCCTCACGACGTTTTATTTAATTTCTCAAATCCTGGTTGGGCAAAGAAATCTTACGACCTCGTGGGCGCTTTAAACTACCTGGAGGTGAAGGAGATCGTCCATATGGATGTTGTCCTTGAGGTTGTAGATCTGAACGGAGCTGAGGAGGGTGCTGAGGGCGAAGACGGTGACGCTGTGAGCGAGGGACTCCTCGCAGTCGAACGTCCCTTCCGTGTCCATCAGGAGGACGCATGCCTACAACGGAGAATCAAGTTCAGTTAACGTCAAATGATTATCAACAAATCAAAGACAATGTCAACCCCAGTATTGATGGCAGCTTATGTACAGATCGTGCTATTTTCAAGTGTCAGGCATATTCTGAAAGCTCTATTAAACCATGCGACAGTTTCCAAGTATAGATAGTTTTCTATACTTGCTTGGAGGCAAAAGTTATGCCCAGTTCATCACTCGCTGATAATAAAAAAAAGCTAGCGTCGAAACTTTGTGCGATATCGGTGCCCTGAAACTTCATAAAAATGTCAAGGGTGCTGAGGGCGAAGAGGGTCATGCTGTGGGCGAGGGTCTCCTCACGGTCGAATGTCCCTTCCGTGCCCATCAAGAGGATCCATACCTGCAATTGGGATTCAATGGGAAGTCGACGCGGCGACCGTCAGCAGGTTTGATATAAAATTACCACAGTTTTCATATTGCCACAAAAATGGCCGCCAATATTACAATAAGCGGTGAATTTTAAGATTAACTTCATTCACACATTATTAAATGTACCTTATTAAATGTACCATAATTAAATGTACCTTAATGTTAAGTGTTTGTATCTGACACTGTGGCCTATCTAATGCAAAACATTAGTCTGACTGCATCTCTCCGTTAGCCCTCCTAAAAAAAAGGGAAATAATGATAGAAAACTAATTTTTATTCAATTTACCGAGGAATATGACCTCCCTTGGCCTTAAACACAACAGACACTCTTTCACGCATATGTACATGCAACTAAACATAACAGACACTTCCATGCCGTTCCGCTCCTCTTCAATGATTCTCGGCAAAATTAATCGATTTCGACCCCTTGCCTCGGCCTCTACCCACAATTGCTCATTAGAGTTAAGACGAGGGGACGGAGGGTATCAGTCTGCCCCTAAAATATTGCTTCTTTGAAACAAGCCTTGGCCCTAATGACAGAATGCTTGGGATCGTTGTCACGGTGAAGCAACGTTTTCTATTTTAGCCTGCACCTGTCAATTCACCAGCCGAAATGTTTACGAACCGTCAGAATTTCAGAAAATTCCTCATATTACACAAATAGCCTAAGTCTTGGACAGTAATGCAACACAGATTGTAATGGACCTGTCACCATGTTGCATAGTCAGCTTAATATGGTGGGAAACAAGTGTAGACAGGGCTTCTTCGAACAATTTTGACTTCTATCACACCCAGACATAGATCTTGCTTACAATAGACCAAATTACATGTTTTACAGTACTCAGATAGGAAAGTTTTGTAACTCCGTTGCAATTTGTAATAACTACATGTCCCTTCGGTGCCCGAGCTTGAGTTACGACTTTTTTCCGCGACCGTATGACTTGCACCTGCAAAGGCAAAGAGTCCTCTGCACAGTAATTACTGAAAAAGTGGCAGATGCAGAGGAATTGAGGAAGGTATGAGCCCTGACAGCAGTAATTGGCTGTGGATATTTACGACGACGTGATGTGGACGGAGTTGACTGTAGTCGGGACTAACCCGGTCGATCCTCCTTCGGGAGAGATGAACTGCGCCTGAAAAGGTGGGGCGAATGACGAAGGAAGGGATGCACACCGAATGGGAAAGGATTGACAAAGCGGAATAAATTACCAGGCTCGGCAAGAATTGAAAAAATTATGAAAATGCGAAGCATTGGGACAAGTTTGACTGCTACAGTAGGAGGCTTTCCATGTTATTCTTGATATGCTTTCTTACATTAGGAACGGATGTACACGGATCTAAAGTTAATATAATGGAACTTACCTCTTCCCCATTGGCGAGCCTCAATGTAAAAATTTCATCCCAGATGTGAATCCCCGTCGTTACCCTTTTGGAACTCATTTTCCATGCGAACCCTGTGATCGGAGTGTCTTCATCCTCCAGCCAATTTTCAGACCCCTGAAACAAATAGGTCAAAATAACAGGGCAACGGATGGGCAACGGAGGTAGGGGGAATGCTGGGTAGCAGGACTCACTTGAGCCCTGAGGTATCTTAGGAAGAGACTCAAGAGGAAGGACTTCCCCCTCCTCGCTCCCCCGGCTATGGACACCACCGCGACCGGCTTGTCCCTGCAGTGCGCCTGCAGCAGGAGCCGCTGCAGTCTATCCTCCTTCAGCAGGTACGAGTCCCTCTCCTCGTTTTCATTGTGCTCCACGACGCAGATGGCACTTCCCTCGGCCATGTCTGCAGGCAGAGGTTCTTAACGTAGGAACAGATGTCGATTTCAAAATCCTGAATTTTCCTAAAACATGGAACTATTAGGCTTTTGGGATAGTCTGTCGTTTCGATAGATCTTTGGTTTTTGATCGCATTCCACCAATCCAGTGAAATTCTTCTTCCCCTTCTCATTCTAAGAACTACATGAGGAATAAAGGATTGTAATCGCGGACACTCCATAGAACATTGCGGGTGGACCTTTACCTGAAATGTTCCAAGATTGCCTCCAAAGATGTACTATATCTTCCGCCTATACATGATACTGTATTGAGCATGGGCAGGAGTAATACCAGTACAGGCTTCGTCCTGTTGATGGGAACGTCTGGGTAAAGAGATAAAGTATAAGGTACGAAATTATGGAAAGAAATGTTTCAATATTGGAAGAATATTGGTCCGTTCGTGGCCAGTGAAGCCTATGATTTTCCGGGTAGTAATGCCAATATAGGTCCAGATTAGGTGCTACTAAAAATTACAGCAACATAAATCCTGAAACGTTTCTGCAATGTACATGTAATGAACAAGTAACTATTTGCAACGACAATGCAATGTTCTTTCGAAACATTCGACCAGCGTCTTGGACATTTACACACATAAGCAACATTGTTCTTCAACATTTCCTGAACTTTGCTAAATTATCTTGTGTTACTTGGGTTCTTCCCTCCGGAGCCCGCCTTAAAACACGCACTTTCGTCGTTGCAAGTCGAGACTTCCATTCGGTTGCATTTTTTAAATTCACTGGAAATTTTTTTAAAAAGGGCTGTGCCGATTATCTCGATATCGCGATATCGTTCGATGCGTGTCTAATTGGCGATATGTCTCCATATCGCGATATTTACATTTTGGAAATAATATTTTTTTTACTCTATTGTCGCGGGAGAGGGGACATAGAACACGTGCATTAACAATAACAATAACAGCATAGGACAATGTAAAGATTGTCGGCCTTGACAAAAACCGACAAGACGAGGGAGGGAGTTAGTGGATAATCCGATGACTGCAATCGCGCTATCTTTCCCTGGAAAATTTCCTTGAGGCGAAATGACGGATATGACCTCTCGGACTCGGTCTGCCCCCGAGTGAAACCACGGCCAATTTTTGTGGATGGAAAAGAACTGGGAACTCATCCCTCACGCTCGTGGAAAGTCTGTCATGCGGAATGCGTTTCGAATTTATTCTCGCAACGAATGCAATACCCATCCGGAACATGGAAGAGTAGCATAGAAGAGTCCTGAAAGGAAGAAAAATGTCAGTTTCTGGGAATATGGCCAATTTCTCGCATCTTGCGAGAGATTGGTCATACACGACCTGGCTCGCAAGCACCTGCGACTTCACGCAACTTTCGTCCCGCGTGAGCGACTCTTTCCGAGATACGGATTTTCCGCAAGCGGACATCGTGCACGCTTTGCGACGGAGATCGTCGATCCTCTCTCCAAGCTTTGAACAACGAACTACCATGATGTCATGCATTCAAGATCAGTTGGAATCATTGCCAAAATAAAGAGGTTTCGTCCTGAAATAGATGCGCCATTAATACACCCCTTCCCCGGTTGAACCCCGGTGATATCGCGATATCGAACGATATATGGTTCGGCGATATCGATACTTTAACAGTCCATATCGCCCAGCCCTACCTAGAAATGACTCTGTGTACCAAGCCAGAAAGAATTCAAGGTTAAGCCGACCTTACTGCTTTCAGCACTTTCACATCACTGTTCGAAAAAAAAGGGAATTTCTCGCGCGGAAGTACAATGAAATGGATTCCCGAAAGGATGATAGCCTTTCCCCCCTTAATCGCGTCCCACGATGAAACCGGTGCCGATTGATAGAGCTCCTCGAGTAGCGCCTCAGGGTCACCTCCGATCTCGATGTGACTGATGACATTTATACACTACTGAAGGTGTTCTATCGACCGGGACCGGTTTCGTCGTGGGACGCGATTAGGCAAAATTCCATAGGACCCTTAGCCATCCTCCTATATCTCGGAATATAAGTTTTCCATATCTCGGCACTCGTCTCGTCGTCTCGTGGGTGCCCAGATAACTGTAGCATGGAAATATTTGCACCGACCTTGAAGCCTGTGAATGACACTTACGGGCTTATACTAGGTTGTAACGAAAGTTTTTGTGCATGAATACAAAATTTATTTCAGCATCTTTTTCGAAATAATTTTTTTGTTTATATACGTATCGTTTTGAAGTGCGTTTTATGCCGCGTATAAATATATGTTCAGAATGTGTGACTAAAAAATCGTGCATCGCGGACTGTTGCGTTGTTTGTATGCACAAAAACTTTCCTTACAAACTAGTAGTGATTTCAGCGGAAGGCTTCATACCGCTTAAAGGATCTGACGATCGTATGTTATAATTTTTCCGAAAAAGAGGCATGCAAATAAATTATATCTAACCTGTAATGACCTATGGCGCTTGAAGTGCTCATCAGCTTGCGCTGCACGCGAGACGGAGTCGATGGTGAGGGGAATCCCGGTTATCTCGGCGGCTCGTATCTCATTTCAGTCCAGCCTTTTCCTATCGGCCTTTTTCTCTCGCATGCACCGTAGCCTCATGATGATCGTTGTGGGGGTGAGAGCGAGAGCATTCTCGCGTTTCTCAAAGGATTCATGATGGGAGTCAAGGGTTGCGATCTTCAAGGAAGATGCCAGGCCCGCTCCAGCGGCACACAGATCTTTAAACCAGCTTAGATAACTTCCCTAAGTTGACCTTCACGCCTCGGTAACTCCAACATCGTGCCGTCATCGTGCCGTTAACGGACCCCTCGTTACCGAGGCGGCCCCTCATTCTCGGGATCTTCATGGACCTCCTATTATTCATCAGAAGGAGCCGAACAGCGCATGCTCTGCCTGAATGAGAGGGCAGGATCGTCTTCTATCGGTGACCAATTCCTCCAACAGATAGCGCCATAGGAGAGTGTCGTTTGAGATATCAGACAAGCCGACTGGTATCTTCTCCTGACATGAATCAGAAATCCACTTTCCGATCCTTCGAAAGCCGTATTTTCACATCTTACCCCCTTCGTGAGATTAGACATGGTCCAGCCCAGCCAAATTCTTACCGGCACCAAAGGGACCGATGACTTCTAGGGATTCGCAGTTTCTTCATCTCAGTCCCATGCAGAGTTACGCGGTCGTTCGTGCCGCCGGAATCGGGGCCGGCCAGTTCCGGTTTCATCCAATCTTTTCGGGCAATATTTGCCTGTGAAGTCAAAAGGTGGTGACAAGAATGCCGTGTTTCGAGACTCGGTTTTAACGCATTTTCCCTTTTGTGACCATGATAAGATAGAGTTTGCGCTCAAGAGATAGCAAAGTCCATCGATAATGAAATCTATCTATAGAGGCTTCTAGATGCTTTCCTGTCCCTT